AAGGGAGAGCTTGCTTACGAGAATGGCGAACAGAATCACTTGTACACACGAGCGAGGTCATGAGAGTATTGATTACCGAGAAGAACACCGTCTGGACCACAGTAACGACTGCGATAACCAGTGGGGTCGCATGGCTATGGACCTTGCTTCACCGCTCACTAAACATGTGGAGTGAGAATGAATCTCCCACTACAACACGGGCCAATAGATTGCCATCATCGCTCATCCCCCCCCTACCTTCTCGTTAGTGGGCGTGCAACTCCTGCCACTTATATCGATCACTCCTCTAATCCATAATCCAACGCAACCATTGGATTCTGAATGCTTCGAAACCCCAAGATATCATCTTCGTTTGTAAAAAACGGTCCATAATTAGCAGAAATATCCAAAATTTACTTCTCTTTTTCCTTCCTTGTCGCCTTCCTCGATACTTTTGCGCACTCGCTTTCTCTTCCACCTTCCTTCACTTCATTATATCAGGCAAACTGACTGCACCGATGGATTCACCTCGCCCACAGACCCTTATTTCAACTCTTCCCTTGCCCAGTTTCATTATGAAATGGACGGGGTGTGAACTTTCAATTATGCCATGTCTATTTCACCTTCATCGACTTCCTTCATCTGTCTTCCCGTATCTGGTCTTGATTCCGACCAGATTTACGCGTCTCCTTCTTGCTGCTCTGTCTCTCTCCTCATTTGCCTCCACCACTACCTACCGCTCTCTCTTCTTACAAACTTTGCTCTTGTCGTCCGTCTTCTTTCTCTTCTTCTCCCCCTTTCACTTTCTTCTTTGTCTCCCCCAACGTCCGTCGGTCTTCGCTTGTTATTGCTTAGTGTCTGGCGCCCGTGCTTCTTCACTTAGCGCTGCTTAGTATAGCATTCGCCCGGTAGGATCCGATCCAATATCTCTAAATACCGGGAGGGAAACTTTGAAAGGAACCAGTTACTCGATATTCCTATTGAACTTTTGGCCTGGTACCTACAACCGAGGAACCCTACATGCCATCGGAGGAGAGAAACTCGCTTCCGGGAGGCTCGACAATCTTTCGCTCGTATACAGAAGTTCAACGAATGGTATGCACGTTCTTACTGCTGCATGTCAGCGCCCCTTTTTTGCATTGTCCTACCCAGGCATAGTCTGCCATCTTTCAGGTCTTATGCCACAGTCCGTTAGTCGATCTGTACGTTAGCAGGGAGCTCCGGTGGGGAACCAGTCACCAGATGGTTCAACTAGTTGCCCACTTCCACAGCCAGGCCCGACATTGTTTTACACGCCAATAACAGTGCGCGCTCCTGCCCGAGTTCCCTGTTCGTGCCTTACCCAGGCACAGACCTGCATCTTTCGGCTCCTAATGGGCACGTTCATACGCCGACTTCTCACCGTAGGTCGTGGCCGACAGATTGTGCAATCGTTTAAAAAAGAATAGAACGACTGGGTAGAGGGTTCTCTCACTTGGTTCCTTGGCCTCGCGGCTAGCCACTTTTCGCCTTGCCCGTGCATTGACCCAACTGGTCCGATTTTTAAGATGGGTAGGATATATTAAAATTATGTCAGCACCCTGAACACACAGGCACCCGAACAGGCTCATCCAAAGAGGTTCATGCTCAAGGTCATCAGCTGCCACGACGGCCACTCGTCTGGGGGTTTCACTCGCTTCCTACTGCAATGCTGGTCACGACAACCCATGTCGGCAGGCACCCTATGTTCATATCAACGACGGAGTCGACAAAGTCGTTGTCCGCCCCCGTCTAGGTATAATTGCATGACTTCTCTCCATTCGTTCCTCGCTCAACAATTTCAAATATTCTTTAACTCGCTTTCCAAAGTTTTTTTTGTCCTTCCTTTGCGGTACTTCTTCGCCGTCGGTATCGGAGCCAAATTTCCGGCGTGGTCAAAGATGGAACGTTATGAATGGAGAAAAATAAAGGTAAAAATAAAAATAAAAACGAGTCAATAATAAAATTAGCAGGATTGACGAGGACAAGGCTCGGTTGGCACTCTTTTCCTCTCGTTAATCGGACTCACGCCCAGACTCGTTTAGCAAAACCAAGGGGGATAGTCCCACAAGACCCTCGACCCCTCAGTCTCCGTCGGTCGGGCTCTTTCTGCTCCATCGCCGCTTGCTGACCTCGAACCCCAAACATGTCGCCTGAAAATCCAGTACTGTAACCAATAGGGTTAAGCCCAAGTCTGAGTTAGGTAGGCACGACCCTACATATGAATAGTCAAAGGACCGTAATTGGTCCTACCTGCATAAACCAGCCCTTCGCCTTGGCCTATCGACCAACCTCCTGGCCGTCAAAAAACGCCACGATGCCGCCCGCGCCTAGGATCGTAGCTTTCTGGTATCCTAATCGTCAGGTGGTCGACATATTTTGCCGAAATTTCGACTCTCTCTCATACTAGGATTGCTAACGCCGCGTCCAATCATAAACCTCTCGCATGTGCGCAAGGTAAAGTTTTTATCATGTTTCCGACATGTCTCGCTAAAGGCTGAGCAGGTTCGTGGAGTGAGGTTAGTCTTTATAAAATAAAAGGAAAATATAACCAAATTGAAAACTATAGCAAAGGTAACCGGACCCTATGACCTTTGACACCTTCTGCAGTCCTGGTACTGCTGATGACTAAACGACCACCTCACAGTGCAATGCAATAATGCGTGCTCCACACACTCTCTAATTCGTTTGCATTTTGGCTCGGACTTTCGCCAGTAGCAAGGTTGCCGAGGTGAGGGCCCTGGCGGGATTTTCCCTATCGGCGCGTTTTTGTTGATCAAGGACGCTCCCAGTGTGACCTTTAAAAAGGATGGCAAATACCCTTGTAAGGGTGTTTGCTACGACAGCGCCCAGCAAGCGGGGATTGGCACTGGTGGCGCCGGCGAAAATGGGGCCCACACCGGTTCGTTTTTTTGGGCGTGCTGGGTGATTTTAGACTCGGCATTGATAGCTGAGAAAGGTACTGGTGGTTTAGAAAAACAAAACAAAACAAAAAAAAAACTGGGGAAAATTGCATTTGTACCCCACTTAAAGATGGTAATACCCTCTATACCCGGTCCCAGCGCCCAACTTGCATCTATACCCAGACCCCATTCAACTTTGCATAGTACCTGACTTTTCCCCTGTGCGAAATTGTAGGCATACCCAGTCCCACAGGCCCTTAGTTCCAGGCAACAAAATTATACCCATGCCCAGAAACGGACTGACAAAATTGCGGGTGTACCCACAACCAGGTGCGGTCCTTGGATGGCAAACCACAAAATTATGCTCATGACCACCACGTGGACTGTTGTGGCCCAGCGGCTGCTGGGTATGAGTATAATTTCAGCCATCCGGTAGTAGGCTATATGGCCACCTCAGTCCTAGGTATGCCCATAATTTTGCCTGGGTATGTCCATAATTTGTGCATTCAGGTAGTTGGTTATAACTGCAATTTTGCAGTACCAACCTGGGTCCACCTCAGTCCTGGTCATGCAAATAATTTCCACCTGCAGTTTTGCGGGTATGGGTGCAAGTTGGAGCTGGGACTGGGTATAGTGGGTATTTTCATCTTTTTTTTTTTTTTTTTTTAAATAGACAAAACAACCCGATCGGCTGCTA